TTAATGTAAAAAAATAAAAATTATACACATTAAAATAAAGAGCGCCATCAAAGCCAGGCATAGTAGTAGTGGCACATGCCTGTAATCCTAGTACTCTGGAGGCAGAGGTAGACAGACCTGTCCGAATTAAAGCCGTTCTGGTCCACAGAGTAACTTCCAGGCCAGTACGGCTAGATGGTGAGACCCTGTCTCACAAACAACAACCACCTGTCAAAACCTAACCATTTTCCACAGTCAGACCTTTGGATTACTTTGACTATTTTAGTACTCTAAAACCATGCACAAAAATCATCTCCCACACTGTGATGTTCGAATCACCATGAAGCCCTCCAAGCATAGCTATGTTTCTCTGTGTACTCTGAATACCTCATTTCTCTTTAGCCTCACTTTGACTCTACTGGAGAGATTTACCTGACAGATAATTAACCGAATGTCTGAGAATTATGATAAAAATATAGCTGCTGCCTTGGCTAAATGTTGTCTCTGACGCTTTTGCTATCAAGATATTTTATGAGCTGTTTTGTTTTATGAACTTTCACTCTTCATGGTACTTGGCATGGACTCTAAAAATGTCCTCACATGCTTTTAATGCTGCCCTAGCTGTTTGGCATCCTATCACACGTCACTCTACAACAGTACTTCCAAGCCCTTCGGTCCCCACAGAATGCAGCCTAAATGTCCCCACCTCTGGGAAGCTTTTCCTGAACACATCAGTCTTCCTGGTTTGTTACCATGTACCTTCACAGCTATCTAGATACATATTGGCTACCTGGCTAGATTATCAGTTTTAATAGTTAATTCATTTTTATTTTATGTGCATTGGTGTTTAGCCTGCATGTATATCTGTGTGAAGGTGTCAGGTCCCCTGGAACTAGAGTTACAAACAGTTATGAGCAGCTATGTGGGTGCTGGGAATTAAACCTGGGTCCTCCGGAAGAGTAGCCAGTGCTCTTAACTAATGAGCCATCTCTCCAGCTCCAATTATCAGTTCTTACGGGCAAACACAGCCCATCTCAATCATCACAGACAGTACCAGCCCCTTGTACAAGCAGGTACTGAATAAGTACTTGGCTTAATTGGCAGAATGTTCTCTAATGCCATTTCCATAAGAAAATATGATGTCAAAGCTTACAAAGTTTCCCTATTTATCGTTCTGTAAACCGATGGAAGTGGAAAGGAGGTTACCAAGAAAACGTCTATGCTCCAACATGTTACGTAAATATAACCAGGAGTTTCAGGAAAGCAAATGGTGTTGATTCACTTTCTCAGTGAGGAGTTAAGACCAGGCTTTTGGATCAGGGTGCATAAAAAAAATCACCTAGCCAGGCCAGCTGACTCTTGAGTGAAATGTAAGAGTTCAGTTAGGCTAATTCTGGAATACGTACGTTATTCTGGATGTTAAAAGTACTGTCAGGGTTTTTCAAAGTGGCTGAGAAAATGTGAAACGTACAGCTGTCTGACAATTACTGAACGGAGTTCAGTGGAGGCCACCAAATATAACCTTTTAATTTCTCTTCCTTATCCCTCTCACTGATCACTACAAATACCACTTAGATGATGCTGTCTCTTTAAACACTGTATACAACTCCCACTAATGGCACTAGGAGCTTGTCCGCCGCTGGGAGCACTACTCTCAGCCATCTAAAATAGGAACAGTGAAACAAGCATCTAATGGGTGAGAAGACCAGCACGGCTTTGCCTCTGCAGTCAGACACAGGGCACCAGCGTATGGAAACTGCCCTAAAAAGAAGAAGAAAATAATTACAAGTTGTTCAAGCTGACACACAGATGGACAGTGTAAGGGTTCAGCTCACTCTCCCGATAACAGGTCTCAACTAAATCACATTTTACTTTTCTTAGGATATTAAAAAAGACAGTGACATCATATGACTAATTCATGTCACTTGTAGTGATACACAAATACACATTATATATATAATTTATTGTATGAATGCAGCATAGTGATTAAGGACCTGAGCGTGAGTGTTATGGGATGTATTATGTGAAATTCCCAAATAATCAATACAAATGTTGGCGGGGGGATTTCTTGTCTACTGAAACAGACCTTATCTTCTCACCGCTGAGTGTGATGAGGCATTCAGACAGAAAGAACAAGTATCAAGATTGGCTGAAAGTGCCTCGTAAATGTTGAATCAAACTTTTCATTCTGACTTTGGCTCTTCTCCCCTTGCCCGTAGCTGAGCCACCCCTTCCAAGCAAAGGGGTGAAACAATTCAGCTTTGTGTGCATGTAGGCGCATCTGTGCACCTGCCAAACATCAGTGTCTGATTGTTCAGTCACCCTGCACCTTAATTCTTGAGACAACGATTCTCACTGGGCCTCAGTCATGCCTAGGCAAGCTGCCTAGTGAGCTTTAGGGATCCACAGGTCTTGGCCCCAGGGCTTTGGCTTCTCTGGCCCTGGAGTTACAGACATAGACCTAGTGTCCATGTGTGTGCTGGGGACCCTAACTCAGGACCTGATGCATGACAAGCACCTCAGCAACTGAGCCCTTTCCCCAGCCCTTAAATTCAACCTTTTTCAGCCATGATTTTGAAGCAGGACGTTCTCTTGTGGACATTAAACTTTAAAAAACGGGCATGACTGTAAAGTTTGGCTCCCCCCCCCTTTTTTTTTTAAATAACTCTTTCCACATCACACATAGCTGCAGCCAGGAATAAATCCGTGATTTTACGAAAGGCAAATGTTGTCATCCACAAGCCCTTGTTTGGGATAAAACACACTAAAATAAATAGGCCACCTATTCTGTAACAGCTGAGTGGGAACCCACTTGGATGCATTCATCTAAGTCACCAGTGGGCACCAGGGGGATGTGTGCTGCCAGTTTAGAAACTAGCTGTCCTTATTCACAACTCCCTGCCTCCATGTGCCTTGGGTTTTGAGGTCCAAATAAGATGAGAAATGGATGAGAAATGGCCAGGGCTGAAACTCTTGAGATGGGGCGCAGGTGAGGGGGTGAGGGGCGCACAACTAAGCCTGCACATTAGGAATGTGTGAGCTTCCGGAGAGAAACAAACCAAATCTCATATCTCCTTCCATCTTAAGGCCCTAACCAAGCTGGTTAGCTCATCCTTCCGACTCCGGAAAGACGGTAAACTGCACTGGAGCAGCAATCAGCAGAGCTCGCTGAACTCACAGACAAGCCTGCCGGCCCAAGCTGCCAGGCCACCTCCTCAGGTGTGCCACTTCCCTAGAACCCTCTAACTCTTTGTCACTGCCACACGGCACCCTCCAGTTTCATTTCCCTGGGCCAGTCCCCGAGGCGCGGACCTTTCCTTGCTGAGGGCTCCTCAGGACTCCCTGGCAGGGGCTGCTCCTACCCGGGTACGCGCCCTTGTTCCGCCAGCCACCGATGGGCCGTGCCCTTGACAAAGTTTCTCAGTCTCCCTGTTGACTCATTTGGGAAAACTGAAGACCTAAACAGCCGCCAACCAGGGACGCTCCAGGGATCAGCTAGCAGCCCAGAGCCCCAGAGTCCCAGAGCCGCTGGAACTCGGCTGGCGCCTTCCCGGTGACACTGCCCTGCAGCCCAGAGGGAAGCCTGGCGTCGCGGAGGGCGGGTTCCCGAGGCCTGGCAGGGCAGGGCAGGGCAGGGCCGGAGCGAAGGCGGCAGGTGTCCCTCCCCACTCAACCGTTCCTTCCCGGGTCCGTGGCCTCGGTGGCCCAAGCCGGCCAAGCAGCCCCGGGTAAGCGCAGCAGCAGGAGGCCACTCACCACTACGTGGGCGCCGGGCAGCGCGAGGGGCTTGGGGCTGATGAGCGGCGACACCATGTAGAGGAGCAGCACGAAGGCCACGAGGCCGGCGGCGGCCAGGAGCAGCATCTCTCCGCGCGAGCGACTACGGGGAGATCACGTGCACCGGCAGCCCGCAGTGTTTGGGTTTGCGGGCGAGGGCGGGCCGGCGGCGAGGGGAAGAGGAGGAGCCGGGGCGGGGCGGCCTCCGCCGTCCGACGGGCTTCTGGGCCCCACCGGCGTCGGGACGCGGCTGCGCAGGCCCCGCGCGCGTCGGCTCCGGGGAGCGGGCCGGCCCGCGGGTCCGCCCGCCTACGTCGTGGGAGGCTTGCAAACGGTGGCTCTCGGATTCCAGGATCCTGTTCCGTGCCAGAGCCCTGCAGTCCCGCTCTGAAAATCACGGGCTCCAGTTCGTGTATTCCCGTCGCACTTAGAAAATGGTCACTGCTCTCTTTTCGCTTTGCGCCTTGGTTTGGCTTTCTGATAACTGACAACTGAATTTCGCTGAGAGCAGCGTTCACCTCGTTACCAAGGCAGATGAAACGGAAGCAAAGCCACCGCTGCGGAGATTTAATTCTCGTATCACAGTGTCCGATTCACCGACTGAAAGTGGTTTTAGTATAGTGTCTTATCGCCACAGCAACCCTGTAGTCATTAGCAGTCATACCTCAGATTCTCTTAAACCTTCCCCAGTTACAGGTGATCACAAACCTGTCTCTGGACTTGCCTATTCATGTGGAGTGCTATTATCAAATGGAGTTCTAATAGGATGCCTGTTGTGTCTGGCTTATTTGACTTAGAAAAAAAAAATTTTTTTTTCATAGTATGCCAAATCAATATTTTGCTGAAATCAAAAATTAAAACAATGCTACTGGGTAAGGGCTCTTGCTCCCAAGACTGAAGACGTGTCAGATACCACGGGACCCACATGAGAGAAGAGACATGTGTTGAGTATAATGGGACCCACATGGTTGTCCTCTGACCTCCAATAGTGTGGCCTGGCATTCACCGCCACCATCACACTCACTGAATTTATCCTAAGGTCCTGCTTGGCTAGCCTCCTCTCAACAAAGACACTTCTGTTAGGACGTACTTTCTGGATAAGAGTAAATTCTTGATAAGTAGCTAACATCTAGCCTTTGGTCAAAGCGCACTTCAGCACAACAAACCTCTAACACTTGGAGGAGGCACTGGGGAGCAAGAGGCCTTGAACTATTTCTCAATATATTTGCTTATTAATCAGATATTATAATCTCAACAAACAATGCCATGGGTCACATTAGAGGGGTGAATCTCAAATCTATGGCAGTGTGTACTCTCACATACAGGCTGTTCATATGTGCATGTCTTTGTTTCTCTTGTGCTTAGACCTGGGTCAATTGCTGGCTCAAAAACAACCCTGCTTAAGCGCTTGAGGGGCTTCCCAGACTGTTTTCTGAAGTAGCAGCACAATTCTTCACACACTAAGCTATGTGAGTTACAGACTCTGCAACTGTCCATTCCAAGATTCCTATCCTCTGGACACAACATCAGATTTTTTTTGTGTGGTTTTTTGTTGTTGTTGTTGGTAAATATGTTTGTTTCCTTACTCTTTTTCTTTTCTCTTTTTTAAGAAATGCAACTGTGTTTACAAACAGCAAAAGGAATTGATCTTTTTCTCTCATTAATCTTTGCCCAGTGTTAGTTAGGCTGACAGATTTGAGAACACAGTCCCCAGGACTTGTAAAATTAGTTGCAAGTTGAAGGGTCCCCAAACCCTTCAGTTGAAAGGAAGTTTGTTGGATGGACTCCCAGCACTCTAATAGAGGTGTTTCACTCAAATCTAGAAGTGAGCCCCTATCTTTTGACTCTTTGTTGTTGCTGTTTTGTTTTTTCGGAGAGAGGATCTGTAGATCAGGTGAGCTTGATATGAAATGTGCTCAGCATCGCCAACCAGGGAAACTCACCTGCACTTCTGTGTCGAGATTTTTGATTGGAAGCTCACTATATATAGCCTTGACTGAAAAATGTCGATATTATAGAACTGGTGATGCAGGGCACAGAATAGTCACCTAAATAATTGGGCTTGTCTTGCTGGCACCATCAGCCCACACCCTAAGGTCCTGTTTGGCCAGCCTCCACTGAACAACGACACTTCTATTAAATGCCTCCGAAGCATGTACAGAGCTCTGAGTACAACCTGCCACAGTTGTAGCCACTTTTTGTTGTGTGTATATGTTTTCAAGACTGACCATTTTGTTTTGGACAATGAAATTAGGGGGATCATCCCTAGGACAGGGTAAGTCTCCCTCTCTCGGCAGCCATCGGTTACCTATAGTTCTTTGTCCAGGGTTGGAAGTGATCCTGTAAGAGTTCCCCCTTCCTCATTAGCGTGCCTATTGATAGATATTGCCATTGTTCAGGTCTTGTTTATGCAGCCAGTTCTGGCACAGATTCTTTCACAGCAAACTTCCCAGGATTATGACTCTTATAATCTTTCTGCTCTAGTTCCATAATGTTTCCTCATGTTGCAGGAGCTGTAAGGTAGATGTATCCACTGGGCTGAGGCTCCCCGTGATACACTGAGCTCTGCAATTGTGTCCAGTGTGGTTTTCTGTGATAGTCTCCACTTGCTGTGAGTGAGGCCAATTGTTCAGTTTACCCATTAGGAGGAAGAACCTCTGGAATTTTATCTGTATTTAGAACAGACTGTAGAAGAGAACACAATCCCATGTCTTTAGAAGAAGGCTGAAGAAGGATAACCAGACCATACTGGACTTCTAATACAGGACAGTATGCACACCCCAGGGCTCATTTAAGATGCAAAGACAGCACCTGTCTCATTCGCCCAGTAAAATTCACAACTCCTCAGAGAGTCTACAGCCTCTATTCCTCTCTGCTATTGGGAAGCGTATAAGCCTCAGAACAGACCTGGGCTAGTGGAACACCAGATCCCTGGTATTGGCTCCCTTTCTGAGATGCTAATATTGTCCCCTGGGCACTTTACTTACTTTTTGTCATTTTAATCCAATGGCAAGTCAGAAACCCCTCTGTTGTCTACAGTCCTTCATCACTTTCTACCCCTGAGAGAGTGGTCTTCTCTTGTCCTGGCATCTGCTACAGGTAAGCTAAAAAAAAAAAGTGAAATAGTCATTGTCTAACCGTGTTAATTTCTGGGACCCCAGATCAGATCCTGGAGCAGAATAATGATATTAGTGTGGAAATTTGATGAAATGTACAAGGAGTTCTAGTCTAACTATTAGTATACAAAGGGTGATTTCTTGTTTTGGTTGCTGTATGATGGTATTAGGTATTAACAGTTGGGGAACACTCCTTGTTGTCTTCGGTAACAAACATCTCTTCTGCCTCCAAACTCCTGCTGGCTACCGTTCTTAGGTATTATGACATCCAGATGTGATTTGTATTGTCCTCAAATTTTAGTATTTGGATTATGCAAGAGGTAAAATAAACATGGTAAGATTCTAGACCAAAATACAGAGGTGTGGGAAGCGCATGAAACTGCGAGGATGCACATACACTTTCGGGTGTAGTGGAGTGCATGGTTTTCCTCCTGTCCCCAAGCTCCCAGATAAGGACTCATGAGACTCAAAATATATCTACAAATACCCACACCATAAAGCTAGGCTCTTCTTTGACTACCTCATAACTTAAAACAACCCATTTATACTAATCTACATTCTGCCACATGGCTGGTTACCTCTGTCAGGCATCAGGCATCTGTCCTCCTCACATATTTCTGGGTGAATCTCCCACGCCTGGCTCTATCCCAGAATCCTTTCTGCCCACCATATATCCCACCTTCTATTCCACTCTTTTCTATAGGCCATGATATTTTTCTAATTGATAGGTGATGCTTCCATACAGACACAAGAGATTCCTTCTACATCTCCCCCTTTTAGTCCAATAAAAGGTTCTTTCTCTTAGATTACTAAACTATATACAATAAGAACAATCATGAAATAGCTATGAAATATATCCGGCAAGAATTACATTAATAATGTCCAGTCCATTTGTGTGTTGCAACTTTGCAAGAAGTACTCTATTATTTATCCTATCTTGGTGAGTTCAGAGTTCTGTACTTAAATCATTTATTTTTCTATCACAGCTTGTATTTAACAACCTAAAATTTTTTGACCTAAAAAAATCACAAATCCTAAATAACTTAAGCTTAATTGTAAGACTATAATTATCTAGTCTTCAACACTAGAGACTTGAGAAGGAAATACTACCTCAGTATGTAGGATATGCAGACAAGCAGCTTCCAAATTAGAGAACTGACAACAGCTGGATGCCTGGACAGTCACCCAAAATTTCTCTAGAATATTGGAGCATCACCTTTAGCTTTTAAGTCGTCCTGGAAGCACATTTTGATGAAACAATTTAAGCAGTCTAAGGCTCTATCAAACTGGAGTAAATGAGTTTCAGCGTCTCACCAGCCGTTAGGATGAATCTTGTCAGAACCACTCCAATTTCACTGGTGTTTCGTACTTTTATTCTGTAAACATATGAACTCTCACAAGTACTGTAGAGTTCCACAATAACATAATTATGGAATATATGGTGCACACAGACCAATCAAAGATGATTCCATCCTTTGTTTGAGCAGGTGAAAAGGCACCTGTCTTTCTTTAAGCCAGTCTGGATTTTATACTAAACTATAATACCAATTTTTATCTGTATCATTTAAAATAATGGCTTAAGTCCTGAGGATTTTGTAGCCATTAAGATTTATTGGCTATGCATAGACATTAATGTCTTGGCCTTTTTTTCTTTCATTTTAAAATTTTATATTAGTTTGTTTAATTTTCATCCCAGGGGTGCCCCTTCCCTCTCCTACTCCCAGTCCCTTATACTTCCCCTCATTCCCCCTTCCAGAAAAGAAGAACCCCGCCTCATACTAACCCCATATTAACCTTCCCCAACACATCAAGTCACATCTGGACTGAGCACATTTTTATCCTGAGGCCAGGCAAGGCTGCCCTGCCAGAGGGAAGTTATCCAAAAGCAGGCAATGGAGTCCATGTTAGAAACATCCACCACCTCTACTTGCAAGGCACGCTATATGAAGACCAAGCTGCCCATCAGCTACATGTGTGCAGGGGACCCAGGTCCAGATCATGCACGTTCCTTAGGTGACGTTTCTGTCTCTGAAAGCCCCCATGGGACTGGGTTAGTTGTCTCTGTTGGTCTTCTTATGAAGTTCCTGTTCCCTCCAGGTCCTTCCATCTTTCCACAACACCACC